TAAGATATGATGAAATTGTAATAGAAATAGAAAATAATAGTACTTTTGAGTATTATTAAAGTATAAATTTTAGGGAATATACTAACATTGGTATGGTATGTGTCTTTAATGGATGCTTGTGTGGATCATAACCAAGCTCCTGAGTCAAGCAAGAAAAAGGGCAAAGATAAAGTTGTCGAATAGTCAGACATCATTACAACTTATTAGCGAGGCTTATCAGGTTACTACATTTATAATACTTGTATAAAAGGAGGCAGATACGTGATGAGTCAATCTCGAATGTTTTTTTAAATGTATATTTTATAGCATTTTGGTATATTTTCATAATGTATATAGAAATGATTTTATGAATAAGTTTTAGAGTATGAACTGCTCTAAAATGAATGGATGAATGTTAATGTTATGTTATGGTTATCGATGTTACCGAAATAAATGAAATGCGTAATGGTGCATTATTAGCAGAAAGGTGTCATAAACGAAAATGCATAACGGTGCATTATTGGCAGAAATGTGCCATAAATGAAAATGCATAACGGTGCATTATTGGCAAAAAGGTGTCATAAATGAAAATGCATAACAGTGCATTACTGGCGAAAAGGTGCCACTCATGGTATTCATAAAAGGTGAATGGCCATTTCGGCACTTCGGTTCAATGTATGTACCTTAAATTATTATTTAACATATATTGGACAAAATAAAGTATAATTGGGAACAAAATACATAAAAATAAATATGTTGGGCATACTAAGAATGGTTTTGATGACTATATGAACGAATTGAGATAATTAACTGATTTTTATGAAGTATATGATTTAGTTCATATTTCAATAGCTATAATATGATTAAGTGTGAATTTTCAGTTCATTTACATCATTATGCCTCGTTAAGTAAATACTTAACGTGTGTTGATTTCACGCGTAGGTAAAAGAAAAGACTTATCAAAGTAAAGAGTGCAGCAGAGAATATCAATCCAAGGTTGACTAATCAGTAACTATAGGATAATCATGTCTTCTTTTGATAATTAGATGACATGTATATGAATCTAAGAAAAATGTTCTGTAATATATTTAAGTTATAACTTTGTAATAGTTTACAACGAATGTTTTACCTTATATTAGAAATGTTTTGTTTTAAATTTTGAAATAAAAGTTTAGAGGTTTATAATTAAGAAAAACTTTTAAAAGTCACGTGACACTTGTGACTTGTGTATGGGAACGTATATGGGAAATGGGTGTTACAATAACGACATACCTTAACTGTTTTCGACCAATAGATCAAAATAAAGAGGAATATTTTTATTTCCATTTATTTTTTATCTTATTTTTAAGAAGTTTAACTTCTTTATTTTTTTTCTCAGGATTGATTTTTCTCATGTTGTTATTTTTGAATAACAATCTCAAGACAGAGTAAACTCGCTTTATTCCTTGAATATTTTAATGATATTATTTCATTATTATTTTTTCTATATTATTCTTGGATTAGCATGATTTTTCTAACAAAATGTGCATTGATTTTAAATTTCAATTATAATGGTGTCGACGATCGTCGATGCAAAAGCTTAGATGTGGCCATCAGATCCCTCAATTCAGCCGTATGTCACGAACTCTCTCATTTGTTCTTGGTTTGCCCCTCCCATTGGGTGGATCAAGGCTAATGCGGATGGTACCGTTATTGTTCGAGGAGGTGAGGCTGCTGCTGGAGGAGTGATCCGGGATGATCAAGATAATTGGATTTTTGGCTTCTCTCGCAGTTTGGGCAATTGTCCTGTTGTTATTGCTGAACTTTGGCTTGTTTATAGGGTTATCTCTCATACTTGGCGCTTGGGATTTCGTTGTGTTGAAGTTCAAACGGATAGCTACGAAGTTTGGAAGATTTTATCTTGTTCATCAAGGGTGCTTGAGTCTAGTGTCTTGGTTGAATCGTTGCAGGTATTGATATCGCAGGACTGACTGATTAGCATTCTTCATGTTCGTTGTCGGTTCAACTTGGTCGCGAACAAGTTGGCCAAGCTTTCAAAAGGTGTCCGTTGAGGAGATTTGCTATGAAGTGCCTCCGCATGAAGTTGCAACTTTAGTTGCTAAGGAAAATTTGAGTTCTTAATCATGTCCTATGTATCATCGGAAAAAAAAGAAATGAAACATGAAGTTTGATGCTTAAGGTTGTGGAAGAAGAGAATGGATTAAAGAAAATGATTTGAAAATTCAATTTAAAGAAAATATAATGTAAAAAATAACTGTGATATTTACACATTAAATTGGATAGAGACCATAGATGAGTTGAGGGACAAGATTTATGAAATAATTTCTTCATCATTTTATGTATGTAGTCAAATATTTTATGGGCCTTACTTTCAGCCTTGAATTATTGCTAATAAAAAGGAAATCGTGCTGTGGTCGTAAAAATAGTAGGTAATCTCCCATTAAAGATAAACTAATTTATAATGTAGGCAGGAAAACATCAGTTTCTTCGCAAATTAGGCATCATCAAATTAAGGATAAAAGAACAAGATACTGTCCGTTTCATTTCTCTGCAATATTAATTATTTATATATAAAATAATCATTAATCAAATTTAATGTAATGATAAAAGATGTTATTCTTAATCCAGGTTGATATTTAATTTTGAGTTTGATTCCAAATAATTTCTCTTTCTTTTATTTGTAAAAACGTAAAAAATACTACATGAGGTTTAATATAATTTATCATAAATGAAAAAAAAGCTTTCATTCTTTTTGTTTATATAATTGACTGATTAAAAATTACCAAAATTTTAACTTAAATCTGAATATTTAAAACATTTTAATTAACCTCAAATCATAACTATTTAAAAAAATTAAAACGATTTTCATTATTATAATGGTTATTTTTTCATGAATGATTAGTTTATATATTGTGAATGGAGCTTTTAAATCCTCATAGGAAGAAGAACTCAATACTTCCTTAGTTCCTAATACTATATATTTTTTAACAAAAAATTATCAAACTAATTAAAAAGAAACTTTCATATTTCCAGTTTATGAAAGCAAATGTTATATCCTTATTTTTACTTATAAATTAAAAATGGGTTAACTATATGATTGATCACTTATATTTGTTTTTTGTCCACTTTTTCTCATTGATTTAAAAAAACATAATATATGGTCACATTCATTTTTATTTAATTAAGACGTGATCATTAATTGTTAACAGATTAAGTAACGTGACAGTTAAATATTTTGGTGTAATCACAAATATTGGTCCATGTTATTTATATATTCTCTCAGTTTATTCATACTTTTAATAAATTAAAATAAATTTAATCCTCCAAACGAATGATGTCACGTGTCGTGCCATGTGTCAATATTCGATTGAATGACTAACATTATTTTAATTTAATATATTTAATTTTCGCTAATCAGAGATTAAGACTGTCACCCTATAGTTGAAAGAAAACAAAACAAAGAAAATTGAGGCCAAAAGAATACAAACCTATGTCATTTAGGAAACCAAGAATGTACCCAACCAGTGAGCCAAGACCAATGCTTGGTCTAAAATAGACAACATAATGTATATATTTTGTATCATAGTGTATAAATAACTTAAATTCATAATAATTTATATATATATATATATATATATATATATATTAAATTTAAAATATATATTTCATATTAACTTATTAAATATATTTTCTTATTAACTTAATTTAAAAATATTTTTTTTATTTTCATATAAAAATATTAAATTTATGTTAAACTATTTTGAAGTTAAGCATATTTAATAATTTAAAGTAATGATATAATATATTTAGTAAATTAAGATATAATATATACTTTGAAAATTTGAAATAAAATAAAATATATTTTTAAAAGTTTAGATATGAATAAAAATATATATTTAAAATAAAAAAATATTTTAAAAATTAAGTTAATAATAAAATACATTTAATAAGTTTATGTGAAAAACTATTTTTTTTAAAGTTAATACATACAAAATATTATGAATTTAAGTTAAATAATTATACACTAAGATACAAAATATATGTATCAAGTTATCTATTTTAAACCAAGTATTGGTTTTGGTTAATTTACTAATAAAATCAACTTGTGTTATTTCTCCCTCCCCTCTCTCTCTCTCTCCATTTTTCATTTTTAATTTGTGTTATTTTCTATAGATCAAATCAACTTTTCCAATTTGTGACAATTAGGTTAGTTTGCAAATAAAAACCTTTTTGTGGTTCGTTTGCTGATGCAGTCAGATTTGTTCGTATCTTTATTTTGTTCTAGTATTTTGGTTAGGTTTTTTAACCTTTTCCTTCTTTGGTCATTCCGTGATCTAGGTGGCTAGTTTTTGGATCAATGGTAATAGGAAAATGTCCTAATTATAATTTAGTTTACGCTTACAGTTATACTTGTAAATCTTTATTGTAATTCTAAATATTTTCTAGTTTTAATAAAACTAGTGGCTTTATATAAAAAAATATTGATTTTGGTTCAATGGTTTTGTACATGTTTGGCTTCCCATAAGACCTAAGATTGAATCCCTTCAGTCCCAATTTAAGTTTGACATGTGACATCATTCTATTGGAGGACGAACTTTATTTTAATTTATTAAAATTATGACCAAATTGAGAGAATATGTAAATAATGTAGACCAAAAATGTGATTATACCAAAATATTTAACTGCATCAAAACACAAACATAAGTGATGAATCATGTAGTTAATCCAACAAAAATTTATTAGTAATGAATATGATATTGATCCTTCTTTCTATACCTTTAAAATTTTCAAAGTACATTAGATTTCGTGTGTTATATTAATCATCCACAGATCCACACACAGAATACTCCATATCTTGACTTGAGGAATAAGACAGTGGATTAAATTAAAGATAAAGCAGCAGCAGTAGTTTGGAAAATAGAATTTCTTTGGGACTCTCGTAGCATAACACATGGGAAATATAGGCCAGCCACTGGTATTTAACCAAGAAAACGTCGACCCTGGGAATAACATAGATCATGGATAAGTTTCATATGGTGGCGGTTCTTGTGATTTTAGGTTGGATGGCAACCTTCACGGATGCCCAAACAACATGTGCCCAAAAGCTTGTGTCTTGTTATCCTTACCTCAACAACGCCACGGCCAAACCTCGAGAAGACTGCTGTGACCCTATAAGAGAAGCCGTTGCTAATCAGCTTCCATGCCTCTGCAATCTCTACAACCACCCTAATCTGCTTGCTTCTTTCAACGTCACTGTCCCTGAAGCTCTCAGGATCTCTCGTGAATGCGGCATCACTACCGATCTCATTACTTGCAACGGTAAGTTTCTATTTATATACAGGACAGACGCAATATTTTATATTAGAAGGGGCACGAATATATAAAATTTTAAGGGGAGACATACTTGTACTTATAAAATTGTAGGACAAAAACAATTTTTTTTAATTAAGAAAATATCTAAAATGTATAAAAAAATTAAAATTTTTAGTGAATAACTGCCCCTGCTCGCCTCTTCGATCCATCCCTATTTATATGATCGATTGAGTTACTATACTAGAAATCGCTTTTATCATTTGGTTTATCAGAGACAAATTATTAATCTCTTGATTTTTTTTTTCTTATTAAGCCACTTCCCCCATGTCTGCTCCACCACCGCCAGGACAATCTGGAGGTGCTGACAGGATAGCATTGGCAGGAGTTACCACCTTATTCTTATGTCTGGTGACATTCATTTCTTCATTGGGACTTTGATCAGCAGATGATTTCTTCATAGTAAACACCAGATATGGTGTGCATCCGTCTCTAGGAATTTTAATTGTTTGCTTGCAATTTTATTTTGCTACATGTAATATAATTGGTGGGTTGGTTTTTCTAATCTCTATCACGTATTATTGTTATCTGTAATTTTATTGTTTGCGTATAATCATGGCTAGATGTACTTTCTATTACTTACGTCTGAATACATCAACAACACATGTTATAAAAACCAGAGCCTATTATACCAGCCAGGGCAACAAACAAAATCTTCTCAACCAACCACGTGAAACAAAACCTCTAAAATAATCCATTATTAGCAGCCGAGGGATAGAAACGGGATGAACGAACATCGCGTTTTTGTTTTTCTGTTGATCACTCATCGTTACAAACTTATCGGTGACAAACTATCTTGATATTTGTAATAGCCTTGATTATGTAGTAAAGAATCCCTTTCATGAGAGATATTGATAGCCGACTACAACTAGAACAATTGGGATGTTATATAATCAGTGATATTTAAGCAATTTTTATTCGTATAGGATTACATAAGTTGACTACGAGGACAATCCTTCCCAATCGATTTGTTTAATTCATAATGTCATAATTCAAATTCTCAATCTTATTAAAGGAACTTAAAGTCTCATGTCATTAGTGTTGATAAATAGACTGCTGCAAAACGAGGCGTTAACAGTGACTGAAAAATATTAGATAAAATAACATCATGACACGATAATTATGTTGTGGTAATCCACTGTTTTAGAAGTGAATCTACCCCAATGTGTGTAATCGCCACAATGGATGAATGGTTCTCTAAGGTTAGCACAACTCTCCAAATTTCGTACGCTCAAAAGATAGAGTAGACTTAGGTGGTAGTATCTTTTCTCAAAACACAAAACAACACTCAGAAAATGTTTAAGAAAACCAAATAGAGTGTTTCAAACCAAATGTCATTTGCTTAGGGATATATATCCAAATGAGTAAAATTACTCACTATTTATAGGTTAAATAGAGGACAAAAATGTCATTCCAGAACACAATTTAAAGCTATTTAAAATAAAATTAAATAACATTAAAAATATGCTATATCTTGAGCATTAACAACATTCCTCTATTAATGTGAAAGAATTCTTTGTAAAAATGAGAGCATTGAAGTTAAAACACGAGAAGAGCAAAAGCTAGATTAATTGTTTAAGCATTAGTGAATGTATATGGAACTAGTACTTAGTGATGATGAGTAGTTCTTCGTAGATAAAGGAATGAATCTTGAAATTTCTAAATAAGGATGAACTCATAACACACAACTAACCCTTTCAGCCACCAAAGTTCTCGACGTGTCAACAAATGTATATATAATATATAGCCCTCTCTCCTTATAATTCTAGTAAGCGTAGTAGAAAAAATGGTCTAACGTTTTTTTATAGAAGGTGACCAGTCTTTCTCACTTAACTATGTTATTTCACCAATTTTATCTCAACATAAACCACCCAAATATGGACTGTAAAATAAATAAAAGATTTTCTAATAGCTCAACCTCACAATAAGTTAAATTTTCTTAGGTTCATTTTAAATGAACCACCCAAACTATAGGATAAGAATTCATTAAGAATAAAAACTTAACATCTTTAATTGGTGATCCAATAAGTTCTTCTCAAGTAGAACTACCCAAACTTTTAGGATTGAATTCATTAAGAGTTACAGAAAACTCATCCTCTCTAGCAACAAGTTCATCTAGTCCATCACTATAGGACCACCCAAACACAACACTGGTAATGAACTTATTAAGAATAGATATTCAACCCAAGACGGTGAATTCATCAAATCTCTCTCACTAAGACCATCCAAAATTTGGGCTATGATTTTATTTAAAATGTGCACTATGAGTCTTTCTATGGATTTGTTAAACCATATTGAACTTGGATAACTAAGTAGTGTATCTATCATGAATTCCTTAACCAATGGGGTTTAGACTCATCCCCTGACGAATCTGAAACCAATTTTTGACTTAACCCTTTGGTTAGAGAACCAGTTAGGTTCCTCTCCCACTTCTTACACCATAAAGAGAGAAAAGCTATGCATATCATTTTGTGTGAATCATAAAATAAAAACACCAAAGGATTTTGTTGGGATTTTCGGAAGCTTGAATCGACAACTAGAACGGTTTGCAAAGAGGGATTGGAATGGTTTTTGTGTTTAGGGAGTAAGGAGATTGAAAGATAGAGAATTACACATCGATTTATATTGGTTCGACTTCTCAACCAAGTCTACATCCACTACCTTAGCTCCTCACCAAGGATTTTCCAACAAATTCACTAATTTGTTCTTTCTTTTTAAGGACAAAGAGATAACCTTTACAACTCCCTAGTTTTTCAAGGGATAAACTAGAACCTTTTCCTAGCTTTTACACGGGCTAGGCTAGAACCCTTCCCCTTTACAAAAGAATAAAAAAAGTAAACAAATAAACCTCTCAAAGGTAGGTGTTTACAAGAATTAAGCTCACAAGAACAAATATTTACAAGAGAAAGATGAAATAAGAAAGAAAAACTTCTTCTCTTGTGTTTGATTGCTTGGATAGCTGTTCTCTAACTTCTTCAAGTGTCATCAGCTTGTATTTATAGCTTGGAATGAGTTTGAAGTCATATATAGCCATTGGGGATGTTTTGGAGCCGTTTGGGGATTGTTTTTCTAAAAATATAGGCTGCCCAAAACAGAGTGTATCGGTACACTATCAAGGTGTATCGATACCCCTTCATTAAATTCAAATTTTATGACGGTTAGGCTGTGTGAATAGTGAGTGTATCGGTACATTGTAGTAGTGCATCAGTACTATTTACATTCGATCTTTTTGAGCATTATTGTTCATCAAAACATTTTTGTGCTCAATTTAAAATTAAAAGGACTTTGAATTATTTTTGTAAACTTTGAATAAATTCAATTCAAGTCCAAAACCATTTTGCCATAAATTGTTATATCAAAACATAGTTCAACAGATTTGATTTTCCATAACAAAATTTATACTAATAAATTCCTTAGCCACCCAGTTTCTTGCCCGACTAGTTTGAATACGATAAATTCCTATTTCATAGTAGAATGAGCAATGCACGTTTTCTTGGAAAACTTCCACAAAATTGAAACCCCGCCTAGTATGAAGACATACCCGCTCATAGAAATTATCTCATTGATAACTTAGTCACCATCACAATATCCTCCTATATCTGCAGGATAGCCAAAAAACTGTAGTTTAAATCCATTGTTCCTTTAAGGTACTTTACTAAGTGATTGAGTTCAGTTACCTTGTTTTATAGACTCATGTCTTCTCTTATAGGTTTGATTATTATACCACACACTCAATAATTTATGAGTCACATAACAACATAAAAAATGTAGGACTCTCTCATAAAAAGCTCAACAAGAAAATTTTAGGAACAATTGGTTTTTTCCTGGTTAAGTTAAGAGCTTTCAGCTTAGACCTCTAAAACAGAGTTAGTAAAACGTATTTACCTTACAAGCTTTTACAAAAGTTGCTCTATTCAAAATAAACACATATCCACTAATAATATTTTATTATTATATTATTAATTACCCAATTTATATCACAATTTTGGGTATCTCCGATAAAATAAAACTCAAAGTTTACTATTTAAACTAAGTAAACACTTAAGTTTTTCATATTCATTGCTTGAATTATGGGTATATCTATTGAAATCAACTTTCAAGTCAAATAAAACTCTCATAATTTTAGTATTCTCACACTGTGAAACATTGTTTCATTTAACTGAAATTGTATGTTAAGTTTAAAGAAAATTATTTGAAAATCCTTTCACTGCTAAAATTTCTCTAAAAACTTCACTCAAATAATGTCTTTTATTAGTTGTAGTAACTTTTAAGTTTTAAGGATAATTAACTCATCCAAGTTTTTTTCCATTTATATCTAAGAGGACAAAAATTCTCTTAGTTTCATACAGTTACTCAAAACATCACACTTATGCGTATAAACTACATATTTATATGTTTATACATCATACTCCATGAAAATAATTTTTCATGCACCTCACATTTTATATTATTTTTAGGGTAGTAATCAATTTTTAAACACATTGTGCCTTAATCAGCTTTATATATAACACATGAACAATTCGTCTCTAACTTACTCAATTTTACTAGAGTAAAGTCATGATAGGTTTCAAACATCAAACCTTGATTTAAACATAATAATGCTATATTTTCATGTGTTCATATAATCAACACTTTACTAATCACTAAGATTAATATATATGATTTTTAATTTTTATGAAATTTATTTCTATCTTACTCAAAGGGAATTTAATCTTTTCCTGATTCTTCAAAATAAGAGTTTACGAAATTAGAAATATTATGAAAAAAATTATCATAAGTTTTCAAATTTTCCTAGAAATAAGAAAATTATCTAAAGTATTTTACAACTATATTTCAACACAAAATGTAATGCCCTAAAATTTTTGTTAGTGGCCAAAATAAATAAATTGAAATTTTGGTGACCAAAGTATCACTACAAGAATTAAGATTTTTAGTGACCATTTAATTATGACACTAAAGAATTTCGTCAAAAAATTATGTTATTTACGATGAAAATTATTTTTTTCACTTTTGAAATGAGTAATTGTGGTTTACTTTTATTTGGTCACTCTTTAAATAATAATTGTGACAACTTTGAAGTTCATCATAAGTAATTCGTCACTAGTAGTGTTTTATTGTGACCAAAGCAAGTTGTCATTATCAATTAGTCACTAATATAATGGTTGAATTGACGCCTACTTATTTTTTACGAGAAAAATTATAGTAGTACAATATATTACGTAGTCACTATTATTATTTATATTTGTGACGAAAATATTTTGTCACTAGTTGAAAACATTTTCATGTTTCGATATAACAAATTAAGTATAAATGAATTTTAAGATTTTACAATCTTTTTCAAAGTATATTCGATTCAATTATTCGAATATCAAAATATTACTCAAAGTTTTTCAAAGATCAATTTCAATCCTTACTAAAGTGTAAAATTGTGGTTTAAACTTAAAGATATTTTTCAAACAATTTTACAAAGTATTTTGAACCAAAAACGAGCCTAAAATTACTTTTTCAAAGGGATGTACTGATGCACTACATTGATGCATCGATG